GTGGGGTTGCCAAGGGAGCGGGCTCTCTCATAATTCTGCCCAAAAACACTGCCATGAATAAAGAATGGTATCAAAACGTCAAAACGTCCCGACTTCTTCCAATGATCCATGAGCAATTTGGTGATGATCCGTGCATTTTCCAGCATGATGGAGCACCATGTCACAAAGCAAGAGTGATAAAGAAGTGGCTCGAAGATCATTACATTGAAATTTTGGATCAGTGGCCAGGCAACTCCCCGGATCTCAATCCCATAGAGAACCTATGGTCAGTCCTCAAAAGGCGAGTGGACAAGCAGAAGCCCACAAATTGTGATCAACTCCGAGAACTAATAAGGCAAGAATGGATCGCCATCAGTCAGGATTTGGCCCAGAAGCTGATATCCAGCATGCCAGAGCAAATCGCAGAGGTTATGAAGAACAAGGGTCAACACTGTAAATACTGACTCATTATATTTTTTGCCAATAAAAGCCTTTAAAACTTATGATATGCTTATCATTGTTTTTCAGTATACCATAGAAACATAAAATAATCTACATATACTGAAGCAGCAAACTTTGCAAAATACAAAATTTATGTCACTGCCAAAACTTTTGGCCATGACTGTAGCTACTAACCTAGCTAGCAAATCACTCTCATTCCTGCAAAATGAGGGAATCTTAAAACTAAGAACAAAAAAAAAAGCATTTGACCGCCGACCCACAATTATCAGTGATATTTATCGATAACTACACATTCGCAGTCATGATTGACACAAAGGTTAGTAATATGTTAAAATGATCATAAAACTGCTCTTGAAACAAGTTTCTGTGGAACAAAGCAGGCCTAATGTAGAAATTTCCCTATAAAGCAAGTGCGAGGGAATTTAAATGTTGTGTTCAATGAACTGTGCTTATTTATCTGGCAAAGTTCCAGTTCAGCGATTCAATTCACATACTGAATCTAATTTAGATTGTGTGGCAAGATAATTCAACCTCTGAAACATTTCAGCTAATGGATATTGTTCTTCTTTCTCTTCCAAATCTAGTAGGCCTATGATTGTAGGTAGAACAATGTACACTTAGTAAATTAGTTTGTGTTTCACTGGCAGATACACCCATAGTACTGAACATTTCAGTACTGTCACCTAGTGGTGTGGATGCAATATTGCATAAAAGCAAAAGTTATTAACGCCATTCTAGAAACATCCTGTTCATGCCCATTGCTTTTTCCCCTTTAACCCTATAATGTGGGTTACGAAGCGTGATATTCAGCCGATCATGTGATCTCAATAAGAACGAACCACCCTTATGTAGAGTAAAACAGCTTTTCTACTGCACCCCTTCAAATATAAGACATTTTTTGCTAAGGCAAAGAGGCAGAACAACATTTTGGGATGTGTTTATTGGTAACAGTATTACATGGTGGGTTACGTAAATCAAGAGAAAAGAAAAAAGTGCTGTATATCCACTGTAGAATATCATTATCATCAAGATAAAAATAATGTGTCCTTTTACATGACCAAACCATTAGCTGAGGTAAAGGCAAAAGAGAAATGTACTGAAATTGGACTCGCATTCACCTTGATTTTCACCTTCATCATCTTAATCCTCAAAATGAAGATCATGAAGGTCCAAAACGGCTTTTATTTGAAATTAAAATGGGACTCTGGCCATAAAATAGGAGGAAGTTATTGTCACAGTAATGGAATGCACTGAGCTTTTCAGATGCAATGAAAACAGATGTCATTCATGGTGATTTTCTCTGATTGGAGGTTGGATTACAGACAGATATTCTGGTGTGTTTTAATGCGATCAGGCGGCCCAAAAGTCAACATGAAACGGCCTTCGCAACCCATTTTAGTCTTAATGTGACATATTCAACTGGATACATCAGGGCAGGACTTCACATTGGGAGTGAATTGTGAAAAATGGGTGTTACATGTCAGATTGGAGCTAGATTTCTCAAATCTAGTTTCAAATTTCTGGTTATGTTAATCAAAATGGAAGTTTCTTTGGACTAACATGCACCGATAAATGTGCCGAAAGGTGTATTAAAAAGTAATCAGGGCCCATTTTGATGTCATATTGACTTTAAGGTCTCTGTGAATGTGTGTCTGCATGAATATGTATGTATATGTGATCGTGTGTATGCGTAATTGTGATTGCTGCATTAACACACACACACACACGTTGAGAAGTTCTGGTCTTCCTCCATCACAGTTGCCAGCTTCATCATCTTGACAACAAACCAAAAGAGATCACACAAATATGACACCAACTATTTACCAAAGGACTCTCTCAGCCATTAAAAACATAACAGTTTCTCGGGTTTGTTTCAGGCCACTTAAAAACACACATCCTGCTGAAATCAAAAGACCGACGACAAGCTTTGATCGCGAGATAGCAACGTAAACCGCTGGGAGTTTGGGACACATGTTAATATTGCTTGGGTTTCATGAGGAGTTTGCATCACTAAGGCCAGCCTATTTTATGGCACGGAAGTCCACAGGATGGAATGAACACTGTTATAATTGGAGCCATTATTATTATCGTCATTATTATTTGTCGTCGTCATTGTCGTCATTATTATTATTTACAAAATGAGTTTGGCAAACCAACGATTAGATTTTAAAGCCATGTTTACCCCTAAAACACATCTAAAGTTGACTTCAAGGGCTCCACTTGACTTATAAAATAAAAATTCCATTTCAACGGCATGTTTTTTTTTCTTTTTTTTTTCTCATTAGTATTGTACAAAAGCTATAGAGAAGGAACAGTTTGATCGCATGTTTTTGCAACGTTCGTACCCTCGAGTCCCCCAATCAGATTCAGCTGCTCCGAAATCTTAAGATTTGGCAAAAGTCGCTCTTCGTGTCTGTTCTCCATGGGTCCACAGAGAGAGAAAGTGTTGTTTTTTTAGCTCTGCATAGCTTTCTAGCAGCAGAATCTCAAATACGTGGGAGAGGAAAAACCAAACGAACCCAAATGGATGAATCGCATAAGTCACAGATGGATCCGGCGGTCTGATGGCGCTCGCTCGGATGCGTGATCGGGGGTCCGACAGGCAGAGTTTCCCGTAATGCGGTCTCTATAGAGAGTCAGAAACTGGAAGAAGGATGAAGAGAATGAATGAAGCTGCAGAGCTGGGCTCATAAGGCTTGATATCACCCACAATGCCCCGCTGTCATGTGCAGAAAACACAGTGAGAAAGAAAAAGTGGTATGGAGAGAGTCTGTCCCTCTCATTCCTTGCGGAGGGGAGTAACGGAGGAAGTCGTGAGGGCGACAGGACTGATGGCTGCTTGGAGAAGTGGACCGTTGAGGCTGGAGTGACCGCATTCATACAATCACATACAGGGACACAATCTCACAACGCATTCACACGGATGGATGCACATTCACACACACACACACACACACACACACACACACACACACACGGACGCACGCACGCACGCACGCACACACACACACACACACACACAGGGCAGGACAGTTGATCTCCAGTATTTTGGTCTCCTGCTCCCCCCAGCGCTGATCACGTCTGTGCAGAGTTCCCATGATCCTTCACTTCTTCCCCTTGTTGATCTGGGCATAAAGAGGGTCCTTCCCCTGAACACAAATGAAGAAAGGTTATTTAGATATTTAGAAATAACAAAACTTTATGTCAGTCTCAGATGGAAACCCCTGATGGGTCAAGGTTTGACCCGTTTGCTCCTCCTGGTAGAACTTAAGCTGTAACTACTAAAAAGCATCTTTCTCCATTCATAGCCATTCAAAAATGGGCTGTGTATTCTGTGTATTTTTTTTTGTTTGTTTATAGTAAAATAATTATTTATTGCTAATATTCAATAAAAATTTTAATATGTGTGTTGCCAGTGACCGTTTTTTGAGGGCTTTTAAAATTGTAAATTTTATTATTCACAGCTCCATATTTTAATTGGTTCTGGGATCTGAAACACAAATAACAATAAACTGGATACTTATCATATTCGAAATCTGATACATGGATTATATATAGATTTTTTTTTAACAATATATAAAGTAACCCAGATCACAATTGAAAATTTCAGTCACTATGATACACCATCTGGACACAAAAAGCATAGGCCTATTTTTGTGCATTCTGACTATATAATATATATATATAAATTCATTATTATTTATTGCATTTTTTAACCTTTTGTAGGGCGTTTTATTCTTATTTTTTTTATTGTTCATAGGTCTATTAATGAGGTCTGACACACCTTCCCATGTTTATTTGTTAAAACGATATTACATTTTATGTAAATGATCCTATATATTTGTAAACTGGATACTTATAAGAGGGTTTAATAAGTATGTATATATACATACATATATACATACATACATATATATTTGAAAATGTGATTTGTACTGTTCACCGTGTCACCTAAAAAGCAGATCTGTCTCACATGTGAGGGAGACAAATTAGATCACATTTGGGCCACATAATGTGATATGTCAAATATGCCAATCCTCCTAATCAGCACCAGGTGGCAACAGAGGTCTTTCTGAGAAACACTACTGTTTGCATTCACAAACTTCCTCCATGAAACCAAAGGCTACATACACCACTACAGCTGCTCAGTAGATATATTTCTGCAGGAAAGACCGGAAAGAGTGAATAAATGTGTGACTAAATAAGCCTCTTCCTCTATCTCAAATATTTGTAATCATTATATTCAATAATAGCAGACTAGCTGCATCAGAACTACCCACTTCATGGGCCTAAAACCCTGTCAATTCTCTTCTTGTTTAACAAAAAAATTATCTAAACAATCTGAGCAGCAAGAGGCAAAGGAAGGCTTAGATAAGGTACAATAGAGCTGCCAGTCAGTGTGTGTCCAGCCTGCGGCCTGAAGAACCCTACAGTCTAAAATCAGAAGCTCTGAATCAGAATGCACAGCAATTACCACTCACTTACAGACCTTTCCGCCCATCGCGGGCACTCGAACGGACACACGGAGCGAGAGATGACAGGATAAGAGAGCAGGAATGAGATTGAGAGAAACAGTCAGAGGATAAAATTAATGGACCGGAGGAAAAAAGAGGAAAGCCGAGTGAAAAGGAGTGGTGGGAGGAGGTATAAAGAGGGGAAGGAAGGAATAGATGACTAAGCAGGTGAGAGGTAGAGAAAACTAAATAGATTAGTCAACCCTGCTGAGTGAAAGTGGTAGAGGAGATGAAAGAAATGGAAGAGAGGCTATTGCCAAGTCCACTTTTATAAGCAAAGTCTCTGTAAGGTAAGTCATTTCACTCGGCGGCCATTTTTCTTACGTCTCAGGCAGATATTTCCAGTCATGCCTCTAAACACATACATATCTTACTGACCCCAAACTTTTAAATGGCAGCATATACATCTCCCATATTGTATTTTTCCCCCCATAAAGTCATAAGTTTAACTTTTTTCAACTTACTTCCAGTTACAGTTGTGTATTTCAGCTACAGCACAACAAAGTTTGATGGACAACTAATTGCAGTTGTCAAAATCCCTCCACATACCTGCACAGTACGAAGCACACTTGTTCTCTGACATAATGTCATTAATAATTGCTGTAATCGGTTTCTCCTTTAAAATATGCCCCCCCTGTTGATTCCATAGATGTATAAGCGTGAGAGCACGAGAGATTTATTCATTGACATTTTACTTATTTTTGTAAGGGTATAATTATTGAAAACACTTTCTTTGCAGAGAAATGCCATTTCAACTGGTCTACTGTATATTTTAAGCCATTACTTTCAGGTTGATTGTTTTTTTTAGTAAGATCTGGCAACATGGCTATTGGCTCATATGCCAACAGAAGGTCACTGTCAGTGAGCATGCATACTTTCCTGAACAACAGCATACAGACAGCACAGACCACGACAACAACATCCTCAGTCAACCTGTATTACAATCCTACAGCGGCAATGACGGCCAACCGCACAGTATACATAGAAGCACAGTAAACACACTATTATTATGGACAGCTGAGCTGTGTAACTACTGTATGATGAGAGACATTATCATACACAGGACAAATCAAAACAATTTATTCTATGGAAGTCTGAAGTCTGAAAACACAATGACCATGTTTACACGCACATCATAGATTTCTGTTCTGAAAAAGACGTTTACATGTTTTACAACTATTGGAATATTCCTATATACATGTAATCAGCATATTTCAAACTCCTTTTCTTTTCTAGGCATAATAGAGAAGCTCTTGCCAATTATTATGCTGCATTTGAGAATTTTTGGACAATAATCGAATCAACTCATTAATTCTAATTCATGTCTTTTCAATAGCACGATGATTTGCACAATTTTGGGATTGAGACTCTTGTAATGTAAGCCATGATATTTATTTTATTGTTTGTAAAATGTTAGTCAAAAATAAAAAAAATAGTTTTGTTTGTACAGGCAGACATCAATAAATATTCAGTTGAGCTGGATATTGTAAATCGAAATGATGATTAATATAGGAATATGCCAGCTGCCTTATTCAGATTATTAAAACCAGAATATTGGCTTAATGTTGTTATAGCACTCAGGTTAATGCATTTATGACACAACTGGAATATGAATAACATGAGAATATTCTTGGGCATGTAAATTCAAATATACAGTATATAAATGTTCAGTTATGGTGGACATTCTGAATAAGGTGTTTACATGACCTACAAATTCTGATTAAGGAATATGCCAGCTACCTTATTCAGATTTCTATAAACCTGAATATTGGCTCTATCTTGTTATAGCAATCAAGTTAATAAGTTTAATTGATGCTTGCAATATCCGGAATATGATTAGTATCAGCAACAGCTGTTACTCTCTACATGTTTTGGTTGTAAAAAAAAAGTGCACTCACAAAGTCACAATGACAGGTTCCTTTGATAAAACCTCTGTAAGATCTCTTGAAATCACCTCCACATTGAAATGTTGCTAAGATTTTACCCCACAAACATATGAAGTTGTTTTCCTTTATTCTAGTAATGGGCAGCCACATCTGCTGTACAGTCTGAGTGTTTATAGGGCTGTATGTAGGTGTGTTAATATTTCAGTGGGGATCAGAGCTTCATTCATCATTAGACAGGGAGAGATGAGGTTGCTACATCAGTCTTCCCTCAGTCAGAGAAACAAGCCTCTGGCTCCCAGAGCCCTTCATTAATGATTCATCCTGATGAGCTCATGTCTCCTCCAGACAGGTACCATAGAGCCATCGCTCACTCTCCCTCAACTGCGCAGAGGCCATTTTCATTTTGGATGTCCAAAATCTAAAAAGAAATCATGGTGCTACTTTGTTTCATTCTATGATGTCCTTAAAAAGTACATAGACACTGTACTGTAAAACATATCATGTTTTTTAAAAAGCTTGGCGTGAGTAATTAAGTAATTAATTATTTTTAAATAAGATTTATACTTTTATTCTGCAAGGATGCATTACATTGAAAAAAGTGACAGTAAAGACATCTATAATGTTACAAAATATTTCTACTTCAAATAAATGCTGATTTTTTTATTCATCAAAGAATCCTGATCCTTAAGCAGCACAACTGTTTTTAACATTGATAATAATAATAATAATAAATGTGTCCTGAGCAGCAAATCAACATTTTAGAATAATTTCTGAAGGATCATGTGACACTGAAGGAATAAATGACACTTTAAAATATATTCACAGAGAAAACAGGTATTTTAAACTGGAAAAATATTCATAATATTACTGTTTTGTCTTTTTATCAAATAAATGCAGCCTTGGTGAAAATAAGAGACTTTTAAAATTTTGTTATTTTTTTTTTACATTTCCATACACTTTTGAGATACAAGTAGCTTGTTTTGAATATCTTTTGTTTGAAATGTAAGTTGCTTATGTTATCATCATCGGACTGTCTTTTGTAGAGTTTAATTTAAGTAATGTATTATGTTGCATTTCCCAATAAAGTTACCGGCCAACTGGCTTAGTGCTAATTTAGGATCGTATAACTTGTAGACAGACGAACACTAATAGAAAAGGATGTGTAATTTTTGCAGCAATGCTTGTTTGTTTAATAAAAATGTCACTAAAAGAAAGATCAGAGGTTGTTATATAATTATAGTTGTTCCTCCGAGTTAAAAGCACCAGCATTATTTTATTCTTTTACTCACAATGACAGACGTCAGAGATCAAAAAGAACCTATATGTAGCAGTTTGCGTGTCAGACCTTGCGGTTCAGATCAGTTCATTATGTTGTGTGTTTTGCTGTGATGAGTGACAATATAAAAACATTCATGACCCCATTTTGTTTATCAGAAAATGACACGACACGGATACGTAGATGAGGAGCATTCATGTTGTTCATGGGTATGCCATGCTACACTGCTGTGTAAAAAAATAAGTTCAAAAGCATTGATACTCACACACATCAGGAGGCTTTATGGGATTAAAGGGACACACGCACACACTCACTCATACTCTGTCATAAACAGAACAAAATTACGCCATGAAGGCATATAAACCATATTCCCATGAGATGCATACCAGCATAAGAGTGATTGCAGCAGCAGGCAGGGACGGCGAGATGAGATACGGAGAGAGAGAGAGAGAGAGGGATAGACAGAAAATGAAGGCAGAGAATAAGGTCACGTTCACACAGTAGCACAATATAGTTGTCAGTCTTGTTTGGAGTACTAAATACAGTTATGCTTATAAGATAAATTGACATAAAATGATTTCCAAAATGTATTTTTAGGGCTGTCAATGTTACTATTTTAATTTAATGCCAATTTACGTGTTTTGTTCTGCTTTCTAAAGTACAGAAGAGGGTTAGGGCCAAGCAATAAAAAATAAAACAAAAAAAATACCTTCTCGTGAATAAACTCGTTAAATTACAAGAAACATTTTGAAATAAAATGTTGAGAATAAAATCATTACATTTTGAGAAAATAGTTGTTGTGTTTCGAGAAAAAATTGTTGAAATAAAATGTTGAGGATAAACGCATTAAATTACGAGAAAAAAGTAAAAATTAAGAGAAAATTTAATGAAATTTATTGATTTATTCTCTAAATTTTATTTCATAATTTTTCTTGAAATTTAACGAGTTTACTCTCACATTATAATGACTTTAATCTCGAGATGGTTTTATTTATTTATTTTAAATATTGCTTGGCCCTAATCATCTTCCGTATGTAACAGAAACAAAAACAGACACTTCCATAGGTCCAAAATTCAAATATAATATTTTTTTTTCTACGGAGTTATATATTTTTTTAATTTAAGAATAAAAAAAAAGAATGATAAAAATATCATATATTTGGGGTTGATTTTTTAAAGTTGTCTTCTCACCAAAGCTGCATTTATTGGATTAAAAATACAGTAAAAACAGCAAAATTGTGAAATATCATTATAGTTTAAAATAACTGTTTTCTATTTGAATATATTTTAAAATTGAATTAATTACTGTGATGGCAATGCTGATTTTAGTGTCACATGATCTATCAGAAATCATTCTAATATGCTAATAAAAAATCTTTTTTAAATGGGTGTTTTGTTTAATATTTTTGCAGAAATGGTGATACATTTTTTTTTCAGAATTCTTTTGATGAACACCATTTATTTGAAGTAGCTTGATTGTAACTATGTAAAAGTCTTTGCTGTCACTTTTAATCAGTTGAATGCATTCCTGCTGAACAAAAGTATAAATTTCTTTTTAAAAAACACTCAAAAAAGGCACTATTGTCTGTAACAATATTTGTGATTATTGTTGATTACTGTTCACATTAAATAAACTAGATAATATTTAATCATTTGATTTGACTTAATAAAAGACTATTATTAATTATTTGGAAATATTTATAATATCTTTAATATTACTTCCCTTTATAATTAAGCATCATCATCCTCATAAAATGGTAGAAATCATTAAAAAAAATTATCAACAAAGCACTACAAATCTAAAAAAAAAAACACTAAAAGACACAATACAAAGTCCTAATATTTACTCTCGTTACACTATGGTTACCATATCACTACATGCATTAATCACGATCTCACAGGATTGAATTCAGATCTATGATTATATTAACAGGACAAATCAGGAGTCACACCTGTTAGTGCACTGACTGTGTGAACGCAGCCTAAGAGAGTTAGAGAGCAGAACAAGTATAAAGATAAAAGAGAGAAGATAGAAAGAGCACCACGACACACGACCACGATGTGTGGGTCTATGTAATGGTGGTGAGGACGGGTGAAGGCGTGCTGACGTGACGTCATGGTGGTTGAAGCAGGCCGACACGCAGAAGAGAAGAAAAAAGAGGACAGATACCTACCCTGACCTGCCGCTATCTAGCTACCGACCTGAGGACTGTCCGTCTCTGAGCTCTCAGGCTCTGCTTGAGGCTCACTCGCACCCGGAGACTGCTGGGAGTCTCCAGCCTGGACAAAGAAAGAGAGCGGAGAAGAATGGAGCGGGAAAGGAAAAAGAAATAGAGTGAGAAAAAGAAGAAAGGGACAAGAAAATAAACAGCAGGAAAAGGAAATCCATAGTAAATCCAATAGTTTAAATGCTTTTACCTGCAACGGTAAGAACAAAGAAGCATAGGCAATGCTGTAAATGCACAAAAAAGAGAAAGCATCCATCCATCTATTCATTCATACATTTATTAATCCACCTTTGTCCACCCACACTCTGATGTATTCATAAGTTCCCGCACACACACGGTCATTACCGGAGCTGTGAAAACCCCTCGGTTAGAAAGGCTCCTGTATTGTGCTCCTGCATGAAAAGCTTTGGACTAAAGCATTTTGGATTTTTATGAATATTCCCTCTGGAGCTGCACTCTTAACACCTCATCACAGTTTGTGTGGGTGTGCAGTGACTGACTGAGTGAGTGTGGAGCCCAATGCCATTACAGCTAGAGTGGGGAGACACACACACACATAAAAGGACTAATTAAACTTTTTGTTCAGCTGAAATATAAAAGAAAGGAGAAAGAGCACTAGTCGGGTTTCCGTGGCATTTTCTGACGAGTCATATCTGATAGAGAGCAGCAGAGAGAGAGTGTGTGTATTTGAAATACAGTGGACGTCACCGCTGATGTGGTTACAATGCATCTTAAGCAACCTTTAAAAGGACAGTTCACCCAAAATGACATTTTTGTCATCGTTTACTCACTCTCATGTCATTACACACGTAAAAGCACCATAAAATAGGACGTATGACTTGTTCGCTATTTCAGTATGTCTTCTAAAGCCATGTAGTAGCTTTAAACGGACAGTCCGCCCAAAAATGAATATTGTGTCATGTCTGCTGAACACAAAAAAATGATATTTTGAAGAATGCTGATACCTAAACAATTTCTGTTCCCATTGACTTCCATTGTATTTTTATCCATACAATGGAAGTCAATGGGAACAGAAACTGTGTAGGTATATCACCATTCTGTACACTTCCATTGTATTTTTAGTCCATAAAATGAATGTCAGTGGGAATTGAAACTGTTACCAAAATATCTTCAAAGTATCTTCTACTGTGTTCTGCAGAATAAAGAAATTCATACACATTTGGAATGACATGACATGAGTAAATGGTGAAAATCATCCTTTTTGGGTGGACTATCCCTTTAAGTGACCAACGTATTCATATCTAACATTATTTATAAGGTAAACTGCTGTGACTGAATCACTAAAATTAGTCTAATCCATGAATAAATGATTGAAAACGGTTTTGTGAACTGGATCAAAGACTCAAAATAATGATTCGTTCATGAACCGAACATCACTACTGAACATTTTGGTCAGTTTAAAACACGAATCTAACATACAGTTTTTAAAGACCCAGAATACAAACCATATAAACCACTTTTGTGATGACTTTGAATGCTTTTTGAACCTTGAAATCTGCATTGTACTGAAAAGAGTAACTAAACTATTTTCCCTTTGCATTCCATAGAAGAAAGTAAGTCAAAGTTTCAAAGTTGAAACAACATGAGAGTGACTAAATCATGTCAGAATTTTTTTCTCTTATGCATTTCATCTAGAAACTGGTGGATAATATATATTTTTAAGTGCTACATTCTTTATGAGGTGATAATTCATATGATGAAATATACATATTAAAAGCACTAGGGAAGAATCAGGCTCATTTTTAACAGGTTATGTAATATGCATTTATATTTGAACAATATTAATCAGGTAAGTCTGCAGTCTCTATGATCTTTGAGAAGTATCTCTGTGATTAATAAGGTCGTGATGATTGTCTTGACAGTTACGCAAGCTCATTTAACACCTTAATGGGCCCAACAGTGGCTCAGGCAGGGTAGATGATGCAAAAAAGAATCCAACCTCTCATTTTTATGGTGATACATCAACTTATCTTAATACAGCAGAAGACATTTTTATGCTCTTTTTTTGTGCTGTACTCTCAAAGAAGCCAGTGATGTTGAAAGAAACTAAACTTAAACTTTAGGTTTTTATTCTGACAGTATTTTGTGTAATAATAAAGCATATATGGGATCAGAAATGAGCATATTGGGGATTTTGGATATTGGAATTTTGATGACCACAAAAATACTATAAAAATAGTGATCTAAAATATACATTTTGCCATATACATGCATATGAATCCTAATTTTGATTTTGATTTTTAAAAATCCATGTACATACAGTAGGCTATGTCAAGTACCCAAGTTAAAATGGAACCCTTTAAAACTACATTTCCCACAATCCCATTCAATGGCACTTACAGCATCCTCCTCTCCGCTCCGACTAGGGCTGCCCTCGGCCTCACCAAAAGAGTCATCGGTTGGCGGGTCACTGGCGTGGGATGAGGACTTTGATGGCGAACTCTGCCGGGGGGCCGGGGTGGGTGCTGTACAGAAGCAGAATTTTGGTTAGTACTGGGCCTAACAGAGTCAATCTTACACTTGTTTATTGCATTATCTGATTGAAAGCGTCTGATATATTGTCGGGTGGAAGGTACAAACTTATTTTTCATCCTCTGGTAGAATAACCAAATATCTGTTACGGTCTTATAGGAATGGCACTGACATTTTCACACTTACATTAAAGACGAGGCTCATTTTTGATCAATTATACATGAAAACAATGCTCCTCTTTGGGCTCATGCAACCTTAAACTGCTTCAGGAAACCATTTGCTGTCACAGCACAGCGCAGCGAATGCTGAATGGTAGTTGCATTCAGTCAAAGAAATAGTCTTTGTATTTCTAAAGTGTTAAATTTCATGTAAGGTTTACAATGGGTCTTTTTCTACTTGGTCTCGGGGGGTTGGGGTTATGAGGCAGGTTTATGGTTAAAAACAGGAATATACTACACAACTTTTAAAACTGAATTTAAAGATTTTAAAACACCAGCCATCAAACACTTGCCGACTTTGTAAATGGAATGGGCATCACACACTAAACGACTGTGGATCACACACTTTCAAGTCATTTTAGACTTTCAAGTCATTCTGAACACAAGAAACTCAAGCAGAAACAAACACAAACATGTTTAATATTCTCTGATTCAGTGGAATCGGATTCTGTACCCAACATAAACTACCCAATTTCTATGAAAGGCTGAGTACAAGTTACTTTCTGTTGGTTTGGATTAGTTGATGTGGTCTATGTTTGCTAAAATCACTATACAAATTTAAAAAAAGACCATTATTATTTTTAAAAGCAATATTGCAGTGTTTATTATAAATGATTTATCCATGAGCAATGATCAAACAATCAAATCACTTCCCAGTGTACAAAATCCAGTCCTGCTCTACATTTTTGTCTCATTCAAGAAGCCGATTCCCTCAAATAAACATCACAATAGGGAAAATAGGCTGTCGCAACTTCCGTTTCATGCCAACTCTAAGCCTCTTCAAGTAAAAAAATTCACTTCTATCACCATTCAGTGGCTATTTTGCCTAAAATCTGGAGCGAGCGTCACCTAGGGGAATATATTTTGGGTTTTGCGCACACTAGGCATGATCAGTGTAAGTAAACTTACGCATCTAAGCCCAAAACCTGTCAGAAAGTGTCCTGTGTGGACCTGAAATCCCTTACTGACACCTAATAAATGAGTATGTCTCTCACGGAGGGACTGCTTGCGTGCAAACGTGCGACGGTGTGGCGTTCCGTCGCAGCAATAATTAGCACTACAGGAGCGAGAGGATCCAAACAGGCCCAACACACAGCGCAGGACTCCCTAGAGATCAGTGATAATTACACTGCTCGCCAGAAGCACAGCTGGGCCTGTGACTGACTCTCTCTTTCCCCTGCCGTCGTTCCCCACCACAGTACTAATTGTCATTTTCACACTGACTAAAGACAATTCCTTCTGGGCAACAGCATCAAAGCCCACCTTTCAGCCTCTGAGTGAAAACGGATGTGTTAATGAAAGACGGGATGAGGTGCGAGTTTGAAGTTCTGTAGTGGGAAACGGATAAAGCCTGTCTAGCCGTGTCAGCACTCTTAAAGGCTTGCGATGAGAGAGGCGAGAGAGAGAAAGGCATGTGGTGAGATACTAAGTTCCTCTATGTGGGATTTGTTTCCTTTGTTGATGTTCTGTATTTAGGGTCTATGGAGCTTTAGGGTAATGTGATTCTGTTGGTCCTGTACAACATTTCAGATATAAAACTACATCCCTAAACTGATCCCTAATCCTAACTCTACCATTACCAACCTCTAAAATCATTTGAAAAACATATATCCTGGTCAACTTGCAAAATCTAATGCGTGTATATCTGACCTGCTCATTTTGCATCACTTAAACCCAGAAACATTTTTTGAATTTCATGCAGTGAAGTAACAAGGAAAATTGCAGCTTTCTAAAGATAATTATGTTTCCAAAGCGAGATATAATCATTTAAATGTTGGCAGTTATAAACTCGAGCTGTTGAAAGAAATAAATGGAAGTTGTCAACCATTTTAGACATTATCTGATAGATTTGTTCAAACATGTAATAAATAATTAAGACATCAGTGAAAGCTTAATAGAGGTTCCTGTGGCCGCGGAGGCATTCCTGTAGCTAACAATGTTAAAAGTCATATGTTTAAGGCACGCATGAACTAACTAAATGTAATTGAATGCAGTGTAACACATTTTTGATAAACTACCAAATGCATATAAAATTTTAAAATGTTAAATATAGTTAAATGCATATATATATACAGTATATATATATATATATATATATATATATTGTATAATGCACATATATATAAGATTATATAAGTGTGTTTGTGTGTGTATACTGTATGCATATAGGTGATATTTTTTTATTTTTTGATGTAATCAATATGGTAATGAAAAAAAAGTCTCATTAGAAGAATTAGACTCCTTAAAAGAAAACCTTTTGTAGTTTGGCATAATCTTTTTTTTTTTTTTTTATAACGCTTGTTGATATTTGAAAAACACTTGTATGCCAAAATCCATATGATGCAACCACCATAAATATGCAGGGAAAAAAAATCATAAAACAAAAAATGGTATCATACAGCCCTCATGATTATGTCAAGATCCTTTTATGACCCTTTTATGACAAGGCAAGGTAGTCCAGGTTGTAAAATGTCATGTGGTGCGGCTCTTCAAAAGTATACTATTCATTTATTGATTGATTGATTGAAAATAATGATCATGCTGATATGTTCACTCATGTGTATTCACGTTGAAAGGAAAAATGGCTTTTTATTTGATGGTTAAACCACATGCAATTTTGAACTGGCCAGAACTGACCTGAAACTTTTCCTGAAAATGGTGTAAAAGTTGCACAAAACCATATGATCATATGGTTGCACAAAACCAAATCAAACAAAAATAGGGGAAGTCGTGGCCTAATGGTTAGAGAGTCAGACTCGTAACCCAAGGTTGTGGGTTCGAGTCTCGTACCGGCAGGGATTGTGAATGTACAGCGCTCAGTGAATGTACAGCGCTCTCTTCCACCTTCAATACCATGACTGAGGTGCCCTTGAGCAAGGCACTGAACCCCCAACTGCTCCCCGGGCTCCAACTGCTCTGTGTGTGTGTTCACTGCTGTGTGTGTGCGCACTTTGGATGGGATAAATGCAGAGCACTAATTCCAAGTATGGGTCACCATATTATGTTATTTCAACTCATATCCCCATTTCTACAAGCCCCAACCTTCAGAGTCAAAATCATAGAACGCATTCCACATGTCTGAAACATCCTACTCACGTGAGTTGGTGGAGGGTGAGGTGGAAGTGACGGGCGTGAGGTTCATCTGTGAGATGTCAAAGTCGTCGCAGTCATCAGTATCCTGTGATATTCCCACTCTGCTGAAGTAGCTGGTGAAAGCGTCTGTGGTGCAGGACAGGCTAGGTTGATCGCTCTTCCTGGCAGGCATGGTGGGCGGCTTTGCCATCTGGAAGTCCTTAAACATCTCCTTGCTCATCTTTGCCTGTCTCTGCAGCGTGCGTTCTCCATGCTGCGGACTGGAGGCCGTGGAGGCAGAGGTTCCCGCCACGGCTCCGCCCATGGCCGCCGCGGGCATCTCGCAGGACGCGGGCAATGCCATGGGAGCCAGTGTCTGAAACATGGCAGCAGGAAGTGGACCTACTGTCTGGGCAGGCATGAAAGCGGCAGGCGAAAAGTGAGCCCCTGCCATCGCAGCCCACTGTTGCTGGGTGGCAGGGAAAAGGTTGGCTTGACCCCAGATCAGAGGCTGAGCACCCGGTAAGACCTGCGCGACGGGCACTGGGGATTGGACGCCAAATGCTAATGGAGCCTGAGCGGCAAACTGTTGCTGTGCCCACACGGGTGGCACGGCTCCCATCGTCACGTAACCTAAAGGACAGAGACAATGAAATGTTTAGGGTGTGTTTATACAACAACAATTGTACTAAAACCGAAAAAGTTTTGCTTTCGTTCACATGGATCCACAAAAATTCCTTGGCATAAAATGCTGTATTATGCATACCGGGCCAGTTGTTGGCGATGTCACTTTGTAAAGAAGCACTACGCCTGGGCAAATATGCATTTCTATAGACTGAATACGTAATACACATGCACACGACTTCACCGTTTTCGCATTTTCATAGTTTACGCAGAGACGATAATGGTATTGTTTTTGAAACCCGTTCATAAACACCCACTTTGAAACCCGTTTTCAAAAGATTGCATTTTCAGGTCCTCAAAACGCTATTGTTGTGTAAATGAACAGCCAAAACGCATAAAAAGTTTTTCGTTTTTAGTTGAAAATGGTGTTATGTAAACACCCCCTTAGTTCACAAAGCTCCATCAAATGAGATTTTCCCACCAAAATGCTCTGGAAAACATGTACACCTCATTACAAGTTGTGCTGTAACCTTTAGCATTCGCTAAAGGACTTTCAGGCTGCCGCTGATCTCTTGATGACTGGGGTAAGATGACCTAGATTTTCATAATGAAAAAGGTCTTTATGGCTCAGATGAACTATTGTAATTACTGCTCACAATAGGCCCGGGCTTAATGAATAGCAACGCCCTTTAAAAGAGGCCATTACAACAGTCTCACTCATTTCACACTGAGGCTTATTTCATTACACATCTTGCTCTTTCTTTCCAATGAGTAACGCTGGTTCAAACAATAAAACACCAAATCATATCTTATCTCTATGACATGCCACACGCACTGCGGGAGCGTGTCCGGAACATTCCACTGTGTGGCAGAGAGGTGTGATATCAACTGCAGCTGGGCTGCTCACACAATGGGACGTTGTGATGTTCTTTTATCGTTAAAAATGACCTGGAAACGGTCACAGATTCTCTGTGTACTGTAGGTGTTGCCATTAACAAGTTAAGAGAAGAATCTACTGTATTTTCTGGAATATAATGTAAATCGCAGTTTTTAGCATCTGAAACGTGCTGTTACTTATATTCCAAAGGGTTTTATACAATGCATTAACGTCAAGCATGCAAAAAAGGTGCGTAACACATTTCCCAGACACCATTACTTGCAGTTTCTCTTTAAATAAATTTGCTTAGGCTTGCTGTTTATAATAAATGTTGTTTATATAATTTATGTTGCTTTTATACTTATATTTCTCATGTTCTGTTTGTTGGATTTGTTGTGGAGTGACAGGAACTAAAATGCATGTGTATAGTGTGCGATGTTTGTAGATGTATGGCATTTTACACAATTTCTGAATGTAATAATCAAATTTGCCATACTTCGACTAATCTGTGTTTTCTCAGTGCATTTGTATTATTATTTTTTTACAAAACTATAGTAAACATTTGATAAATTCTGTATTTTTTTTCTATATTTATTTATGCTACATAATATTAAAATATAAATAGTATAAATTACATTTGTTATTTATTTATTTGACACCAAATCAGAATTTAAATTGGCATTTTAAAACTATTTTATTTACACTAAATACCATTTAATTAGAAAAGTAATATTTAACTAAACATTACATTATTTTCTAAATAATTTTAATAAATAGTGCAACTGTCACACTTGGACTTTTTATGCTGTAGTTCTTTCCTCTGAGTTTACCATCTCCTGGGTGGGTTTGTAGCTCTTTGTAGTTTCTATGATCATTGGTTCCTTTGTTTCCACATGTGTGTTTTATTTCCTCATTAGCCCCTGTCTGTAGGCTATACACAGCCCTATATACAGTGGGTACGGAAAGTATTCAGACCCCTTTAAATTTTTCACTCTTTGTTATATTGCAACCATTTGCTAAAATCATTTAAGTTAATTTTTTTTTTTTCTGTTCTCCTGGATTCTGTTCCTGGTTTGGTTTCGTTGAAACCGCTGCATTTAGATCCATGTTTCCTCTTGCTTGTCTGGATCTCCTTGTTATAATAATAAAATTCCGAGCATGATTATTTCTGCACATGCAGTACAATGTTACAAAAAAACATCAATTTAGCATTTTCTCGCTACTCCACTAATAGTGTAGCTTGTTGCCAGAAAAGCTATCGCCACTAAAGTTAACAGCATTTTTACTTTTTTACTCTTCAATTGATGATGTTAACACCATGTCACTGAGCTGTGCACCTCATGTAGGGATGGGGACATTTGACACAAGGTAACATGATGGATCTGATGGCTTCCGGTTGGAAGAGACAGCACAGCACTGGATCCATCCTGTCAACTGTGAAGTGTTCCCATGGAATTGCTGTAACGGTTTGTGGGTTTCTCAAGGACCAGTGAGTGGCCTGGAGAAGCTCTATATGTGAATTTAAGAAAATTGTGCATGTCCATCATTCAGTCAGGTAGCAATGGTCCGTCTCATCATAGCAGCACACCCCTGCAAGGGCGTCTGTGATGGCCCTTGGCAGTCATTTTGAGCTATGGATCCACCATTAACAAATGAGATGGAAATATGGACTGCCAATCAGGATGCATGGACAGCAAATCCTGGAGCACATCTCTGGTATCCCGTGGATATGTAGAGGATTGGACTACACTAAATGAATTGAATCAATGAATAATTTTCTAATAAAATAAAAAAGCTTTTTAAAATTGTATTTTATAATGTAACTGTTTAATAAAAGCTCAAATGCATGCCCTATTTTAAATATAGAATACAGATAGTCACTATATAGTGATTATGTTCACATACAGCACAGCTTCTTATACAGTAGGTTTCTTAAATAATATCATAATTAAGCAGTGTGCATTCGTTCAGATGATTTATGTTCCATTAGACATACCATTTAAAACAAGTTTCATTCAAAGTGACTTACAATATACTGCCAGCAGGGCCAGACCCCTAAAGCACTCTGGGGAAAAAACTCTCACTTGAAAAAAGCCAGAATGATTTCACAAGGGTGAAAAATGTGCTCATGCTATCATAACTGAACTGTGAGAATCCCATCAGGACAGGGGTGGTGGAGTCAAGCCTGGTGTTTATGAATTTACAACACAGAGGGGAGTTTGACTGAGGGAAGGAATTGAAGATAGCGGGGACAGATGATACACTACTTGATTCCACACATATCAATGTTGTACTGTTTACTGTTTCAGAGGAAGTCAATCTGGCTGGGACAGATGTCCCAGGGAGAGCAAAATCACTGCACAAGGGCTATTTGTTTTTAATAACTGGTTCAAATATCATGACGTGAGTGTTCTTGTAGAATTTAAAGTGGCAGCACTTTACAATACAGAGTCCAGTATGTGAGTCAAAGACGAAAAAGGTTTAAGCATAAAAAAATAAGTTTAATACTGCTTTAAATTGTTGTTTTTCCCCAAAAAATTAAAAAAGTTTTGTTTAATTTAATTGTTTTTCTGAGCAAAAAATAAATATCATAAATAAATAAATAAATAAGACCCACTAAAATGCCATTCAGTGTAACAATCTTGTCAGGCATATTTACAACAAAAATCAATGTATGACATATTAAAAGACTAATTACTTTCACCTCAAATACTAATTATTTGTAATTTTACATTTTTAAAATTGGCCACTATCCTAGGTTTTGCCAATTGGTCAGTAAGAATTTTTTACTCATTTAAAACAGAATAAAATTCAATATGCTCCCTTATTCTTTTATATATTTGAATATGTACAAGTCAGAATAAGCATGTTGTTTGATTTTTTTACATGAATATTGTGTTACACTGAATGACAATATAACATCATTTAAACCAAATTTTATTCTTCAAAAACGTATTTGAAACCTTAAATGTAGACACTTTACTTACATTTAATGTACTTTCTATGGACATAAAATCCCTTTTGTAAATTTCTTTTGATGCGGACATCTTAACGTCTTTGACCCATGTACAAAATGATCAGAATTTTAACAGTAAATGATTGTAAAGATGCTTTGGTAAAAACTTGTTAATTACTTAACAGAATATAGTACAGCGAAATATTGTCATAGATTTTACTGAATCCAAATTTACTGTAATTGTACAGGAAAATATTGTTAAATGTACAATTTTTGAAAGTGAAAAGGATTTAGTGGCATTTTACGTTGTTAAATTTACATTTATTGCAGTATTTTATGTTTGTTAGCATGATGGTGTTTTGTATTTGTGTGCCTGACTCCAACTAAAAAATAGAATTTATCGCAGTAAATAAATAAATAAATATTTTTTTGATTTCAGTAAGCTCACCATTATGTTCCAAACCTGTATAACCTTCTTTTTCTGCAAATCTTATGTGTAAAAGAAGACATTTCGAAGCTGTTTTTGTTAATATAATTAAAGTCAGTGGGACCCAAAACAACATTTGGCACCAATTTGGACAAAATCATTGAGACACAAAAAAAAGTCATACAGCTTTAAAAAGACATGAGGGTGGGTAAATATAATGAATACAATTTCCCCTTTAATAATATACTGTATATAGATAAAAAAAAGTTTAATTAGATTATGCTAAATATATATATATATATATATATATATATATATATATATATATATATATATATATATATATAACATTTATTTTTTAATTAAAGCAATGCTTAATAAATTGATAGAAGCATACATACAAATTTGATCATTTAGCCCTATCCGAACTGAATCAACACGGAACTGATGTTTATCATTGTGATGCTCCTTTGACACAATCTGTATTGTATAAAGCACTATATAGTTAAAGGTGACTGATGAAAATGGTGATGAAAAACTAAATTCTGTCCATTTGTGGTGCAAAAAACCTTGACTAAGTGGACATAACGGAAAAAATAGCACAATAAAAATGTATGATATGACCCCAGTACAGATGTGCATGCTAAAAAAGACATCATGCACTTACAAACACACACACACACAGAGCAGGTAGGGGTAACACTGTGTCCTCTACAAGGCATTTATCATGCAGATCAGTACAGCAGCCAGTAATGAGAGCATTCATATTCCACAGCAGGAGGACGGGACACCTTATTTAGCCAGAACTAGACAGACACATTATTTAATTTGCATCCGCCCCGTTCCATGTCTCCTTTATCTGTTTTCTTGGTATTATTTTCTTCTGTACACACACATTGTCTGAAAGAGAAATCTGTCCTACCTGAGGGTACAGAGGTGGGGTTGAAGGGGGTGAACAGTTCGGATGGAGTCTGGTGGGCCAGCGTGGGGTCCAGAGTATTAGCCGGAGATGCTGGGGTCTGTAGAAGAGGAAAACCATAGCAGTCCAAAGGGAAGCTTTAAAATAAACTAAATTTTCTCAACAACTTGCTTAACTGTAAAGTCAGAGTATATGTTTGAAATGGCTTAAAATTCTGTCATCATTTACTCATCCTCAAGTTGTTCCAAACCCGTATCAGTTTGAACACAAAAGAAGATATTTTGAACAATATGGGTAAACAAGCAGTTGATGGTGCCCATTGACTTCCATAGTATGGAAGAAAAAAAATACTATCAAAGTAAATGGGGACCATCAACTGTTTGGTATCACACAGTCTTCAAAATATCTTCTTTTGTGCTCAGCTGAATAAAGAAGTTCATACAGGTTTGGAACAACTTGAGGGTGAGTAAATGATGACAGAAGTTTCATTTTTATTTAATTAATCTGCATCAGGGGCGTTTCCTCCGAGGAGGCAAGGGAGGCAGTGTCTCCTCAAAAAGTTGGAGGAGAAAATAATCGATATTACAAAAATAAAACAGCGCAAATATGACTAAATATGATAATAAAAGTCTAAAAGTCACTTGTTTTTATAAAGTAACACTGTCCAGCAGGCTCATTGAGATGAATGGGGGAAAGTCACGCGAGAGGAGGCAATGACTCCATCTAGCTATAATTGGATATGACCGGTTATGGTTGAATGTGATTGGTTCGTGTGATAAATCCAGCCTCTTGTTTTCGTGCGAGATTTCGGCCTGAATGAAGAAAATGATGGCGTTATTGACTAATTATAAAGTAAGTAAACAACTCTCCTGCTTAGATACCACTACTTTGTGTCACGTCAAAATAAAACTTAAAATGGTCTGAAAACGTGATGACTGCGTCAGTTTTTAGTGAGCATTCAGCGTGATGAAATTAAAGATATATCTTTGTGTCTGTGGCAGTGTTTACAGAGCTTTTATGACGATGACCCGAAATAAGTTGACTATTAAAAAGAACAGCTGAACATCAGTTCACAAATAAAAAATATTGGTAACATTTTACAATAAGGTGTCATTTAATGAGTTAAAGGGGTCATATGATGCTGCTAAAAAGAACATTATTTTGTGTATTTGGTGTAATGAAATGTGTTTACGCGGTTTAAGGTAAAAAAAAACATTATTTTCCACATACTGTACATTATTGTTTCTCCTCTATGCCCCGCCTTTCTGAAACGCGTCGATTTTTTCAAAGCTCATCGGTCTGAAAAGCGAGGTGTGCTCTGATTGGCCAGCTATCCAGTGCGTTGTGATTGGCCGAATACCTCAAGCGTGTGACGGAAATGTTACGCCTCTTACCATATTGTGATGCCCTGTCCGGCCGGAGCGACGAGACAAAAACATTAAATCCCATTATAAACGAGGCATTTGTTGCATCCAGTGGGGACATAATTACGGATTATAATGACTTTTACTTTCTTTTTACGCGTTGCATCGCGCCGCGTAAACAGAAAACCATGTCTGCATTTGTGATCGGAGAAATGACAAACAAGCGCTACTCTACACTGCTCAAAACTCGTGTTTGAATCGTCAGTGGCAAATTCTTTATATATAAAAAACGTACATACAGTCTGTGAGTCAGAACAGCCGGCATTATAGTCTACTCTACCTGGATCAGGAAACAGTCCTCCATAAAATGTGCTGCACACATCTGAATATTTGGGTTGAACTGTTCTGGAACAGTGTTGTAAATACAACTTAACCACTGATTTCTAGTCGTGTCCTCTTTGGAAGACCAAACAAAGTAGTTTCGCTTTCACAACGAAACACAGCATCACACACGGCGGCCTTGAGTGAGCAGTGGCCACCGCCTAGAGTGAGCGGAGGCTGGCGGATTCAACGAAGGAGCGTCCAGAGGGCTTGCGGCAACCGCATGTGACGACCCCGGGCTGGACTCCGCTTCGTCCACGGTGAAAGCCGGTCTGGCGATCCACAGCGCGAAGTTGATGTATTTCCTCAGCGACCAGCACGGATCAGCTCCAGGCATGACGAAGGGCGTTACGCAAATCTTCCCACATCGTGACGTAGACATGTGGGGGCGTGTTAGAACGAGGCGTTTTAGGTAGGCGTTGTTGACTCTTAACTTTTATAAAGAATATCTCTTTGGATTTGAGACTTTAGTCTTTGCAACTTTACAGATCTTCTTTATGCACCAAGAGCTTGTAACACTCCAAAGAGAAAGGAAAAATTGAAATCGCATCATATGACCCCTTTAACTAACATGAACAAACAATGCACATTTATTACAGTATTTATTAATCTTTGTTTACATTAGTTAATACAAATACAGTTGTTCATTGTTAGTTCATGTTAGTTCACAGTGCATAAACTAATGTTAACAAACACAACTTTTGATTTTAATAATGCATTAGTAAATGTTGAAATTAATATTAACTAAGGTTATTAAATGATGTAGAAGTAGGCTATTGTTTATTCTTAGTTCATGTTAACTAAAGTAGTTAACTAATGTTAACTAATGAAACCTTATTGTAAACTGTTTCCAGAATATTGTTCAAATTGAAAAAAATAATATTAATAAAATACAAAATAGAATTATATTTGTTCTCTTTGTTATGTAATATTTAAATATAAATATATGTTTATACATAAAACTGCCTCCTCATTTTAAAACACCACCGCACGCCACTGATCTGCAGTATACACTGTGCAGTATGCAGTATGATAATATTCCATTCTGAACATATACACTTACTATAATATTTTAGCATCTAGAGTCACTCACCGAGGGAGACGTGATATCAGGAGGGGTGGACATGTCTCCAAAAAGCTCTAACTGGTTGATATTCTGCAGATGAAAGAGGAACATTTAACAGCATAAAATGAGACGTGTTTCACCTCAGCACTCATTGCCATGTCAGTCTAATCTTTGCCACAGAAAAGTGGACCTACCTTTGGCAAACAGTGGTTTGAACAGACATGTGACTTGAATAATAAATGATAGTGAGTTGTGTAATAAATGACAGCAGTTACGTAAATGATAGTGGGTTGCTATAAAATTACGCAAAAACACAAAGGATGATGATGATGATTCCTGTACCTACCGACCATGTGCAGCAATCTATCCATCCATCCATCCATCCATCCATCCATCCCTCCATCCATCCATCCATCCATCCATCCATCCATCCATCCATCCATCCATCCATCCATCCATCCATCCATCCAATTTCATACATTTAACCACAAACCATTTCATGCCTGTCCATACAAGACCATGGATTTGCATTAAATCACATGATGAGCGAATTTCTAGAAAGATTATTAATTAATTTCCTTGGGATATATTCTGTATTCAGGGTTATTTCTGAACAGAGGCATATCAATCCCACCAGGATTTCACAGGACATTTTTCAGATTTTTGTGCCCCAAAATGTCTGAATTTGCTGCAGCTTCTTTTCAAAGATTGTGGTAATATTTGCAAATGTTTTATTTTGCAGAAAAACTAAACTAATCATGATATATACTGATGCAAACAGTGGGCAGAGGCTTCTTCTTGTTCTTAAAGGCGATGTCATTTCAAACAAAATCAGGCCAAAACGAAGTCTGTTTGTAGTTTGTTCCTATAACACTTTATAATAACTTTCATTCATAAATCATTAACAAACATTACATAATGCTTAACAGACCTTTAGTTAATAAATATTCACAAAGATAGAAATATGAGATAATATGCTTGTTCATGTTTAGCAATGCACGTATTAAACATTATTTAAAAAATAACAGATCACTAATGTAAATTGAAATTATTACAAATGTCATCAAACTTTTGATTCATATGATCTTCAAATGATTTTGACAGTTTACAATGATTAAAAGCGTCATTAATAAATCATTAACAGACATTATTTAATGCTTAACAGATCATTAGTTAATGTTTACAAATGCCATTAACCTTTCAATAAATCATAAACTTTTTAAAAATCACAAATGATTTTTGAAAACACAAATGATTTTAACAGAAATTATACAATGATCATTGTACTTTTGAATGCTAACAAATGTCATTAGACTTAATTTCACATATTACCTAATGCTCTTTTTTACATTTACAAATGTTGTGGAAAAAATAGCTTAATTAGTCATTTTAAGCACTTCACAAACCATTCATGTTAACATATTATTCATTATATGTCTGTAAATGCCATTTATTTCGTTGTCGTTTGTTGTGTAGACTTCTAATTACACTTCTTAACTAATCATTTATTCATGTTTTTGTAGTACTCAAATCTAAAGTGGAAACTATTCATCAATTGTAAATGTTTATAAACATTTCTTAATCATTGGTACCTTTATGAGCAGTCATCTCAATGGCAAAATGTGTCCTAAATGTCCTGTTTGTATTGCCTCAACACATATATGTGACTGTGTGTATAAATATGAGATGTATACATCATCTGAAAGCTGAATAAAAAAGCTTTCCATTGATGTATGGTTTGTTAGGATAGGCCAATATTTGGCCAAGATACAACTATTTGAAATTCTGGAATCTGAGGGTGCAAAAAAAAAAATCTAAAAATATTGAGAAAATCATCTTTAAAGTTGTCCAAATGAAGTTCTTAGCAATGCATATTACTAATCAAAAATTAAGTTTTAATATATTTACAGTAGGAAATTTACAAAATATCTTCATGGAACATGATCTTTACTTAATATCCAAATGATTTTTGGCATAAAAGAAAAATCAATGATTTTGACCCAAACAATGTATTTTTGGCTATTGCTACAAATATACCCCAGTGACTTAAGAATGGTTTTGTAGTCCCGGGTCACATGTTAGTACACTACTGTATATCATTAAACAGCATATTCCTTGAATCTATGAAGAGTTTATTTGCAAACACAGATATCTCAGTTTTTATTAATTTTCATAAATCATGTTTTTTATTGTGTTATCATGTTTCTATTGTGTTATAGTGTTAGCTGTATTTTTTTGTTATTATTATTTAATCAACACAACCCAACTTCAGTTTGATTGAGATTAATTGGAATGCAGGATAAAAAAAAATCATGATTTTTTAAAGAAGGAGTTATCTGTTTTTGCAAATGAACTCTTCATATCTCAACAAAAGAAAATAAATACATTTTTCAAAAAAATACTCTATACTTTTATAAATTTGATCAAAACTACGTAATATAAACAGACTGAACTGTGTTCCGTTATAGTAATCAAATGGACTCAAATTGACTGAAAGCTTTTAATAATTGCATAATATCTGTTAAAATAATTTGTAGATTTTCATGATGTGCACGATCATATGAATTAAACGTTTAATGGCATTTGTAGCCATTCCAATTTACATGAAATAATTATCATTAATCATTAGGTAATGTTTAAGTTTATTAGTAAACATTAACAAACAAAATAATTATCTCATGTTTTTAGCTATTTGAATTAAAACAGCAGTCCGTAACTTTTTTTGGTTAAAAATGATCCGAAATCAATATTTGAGCAAGTACATAACCAGCCAGTGTTCAAAACTATCACATTACTTTAGCCCGATTCACAGCGGTTAGATTATAATAATGCTTTCTAATTTGAGTGGTACTGGTAGGATTTTGCGGGAAATTCGAGCATGCCGCTACATCATTAACATATGCCTATAAACATAAAGAAAGAATCCCAGCTAGTATGCTATATCGCATGTGAGGATCCTGCAGGTGGCAGATCGTTTATAGCCTTTTCTCACAAGAGCTGGAATAATTAAATTGATCATTTTGATGGCAACTCATTTTTGTTTATGAAACACGTTATTATGTGACTGAAATTAAACTATATTCCAGTTTTAAATGTGCATCTGATTACAGATAGGATACAGATACGAATTACACAGAATTTGTATTTTAAAGAGAACCAGTTCGAAGGAAGAATAATTTGCGTTTTTGGGTTAAAATAATTTCTTAATATGAAATTCGAAAGGTATGACAATTAGAGATTAGACTGTACAGAAATTGAAATCCACACACTAATACACACTATATACACAGTCACGCAATGCTGATGTTGTTAATATTAACAATTTGAGAACAAAGAATAATAATAATAATAATAATTTGCACGTTCGTTAGACTTAATCACCATTGGTAGTGTGATTTATTGCAATGCTTTTGTCCTGAGTTGGTCAGAACAAAAGCGGCAGACTTGTTACTTACTAGTTCAGATGACAATATCCGGTCATACTTTCAAGATGTAGGCTAGAATCTATGATTCCTCAGTATAGTATCCACACTGGTGTGGTGACTGACAGCCACACATACTCCTCAAAACATCAGATTCATCTGCGCTGGAGCCATGCCAGTGCACAACCCACGCAATAAAGATAATTGTGCAAATAACTGCAATTGCAATTTTTCAAACAGAGATGGCGACAAAGAGACAAAACTTATGGACTGCAGCTTTAACTAATGATCCTTTAAGCATTATCAGTGTTCATTTTGACAGCAAATTTTGATTTTAGTCATAGTCTTTTGACTAAAATGCCATTTAGTTTTAGTCATATTTTAGTCATCTGAATTGTTTTTAGTTTTAGTCTAGTTTTAGTCGACTAAATACCATAAGATTTGAGTTGACTAAATCTACAGTAAATTTAGTCGGCTAAAATCTAATGGGTTAGTTACAGTGCATTTATTAAGCATTTCTCTAAAATTTCCAAACTCATTATATAGGTTTGATATTAAGGTTTTATCATGATAGACACCGATTTTACTGCAGTGACACACAACATGCCTTCATGTTAAAATTAAATAAAACCACTTCTCATAAAGAGCAAGAACATGATCTTCTTTTTAATGAAATACCAATGGTTATATAGGCTAATTATCCATTCTTTATAGCAACTTGTTTACCATATTCTTCATTCTTTCAAGCAGACATATTTATTTCTATAAATAAATTTAGATACATTTTTAGGGCTACTAGTTTTTCAGTGATTTTCTGTCTTTCTTTTGTTGCTTGAACATCAATGACTCGGACAATAGCAACTAAATTAGGCTGTCATCCCTTTAAAACCGAATGCAATGGATGCAATGTACTGATTGAGTGAATACTCGTCAAAACGAACAATTCGACATAATTTTGTGTGTAATTCTCCATTCATACTCGAGCAAGAATACTCGCGCGCTGTGAGACGCACGTTCTGTGTGTGTATGCTTCAGTGTCTGCGCTCAGAAAACCAGACCGAATTGAGTTCTCTCTTGCGTCGCCAGATTTATCCTCTTCTCTTACTCCCACACATTGACATTTTTGAACGTTTTATGCGACGTGCAGCAAGTGTATGTTAGCTTATGTCCCGCCGGTTCATATGTAGGCTATGCATCTAACCTCCGAACCATGCAGCAGATTCGTTCTGAATGAAATTCAATGAATCTCTTCCCAAATCGTGCCTCCCTAACATTTTCGTTTCATTTTTATTCGTTGACGAAAATGTCAATAGATTTACGTCATAGTTTTTGTCATCCAAAAATAGTTTTAGTTCGTTATCGTCTCGTTGTCGTCGGTGAAAAAAATGTCCTTGACGAAAATTATGCCGAAAATTATTCTTTATGTAATTAACACTGAGCATTATATAATGTTTGTTAATGATTTATTAATGAAAGTTATTATAAAGTGTTACCGTGTGGGCATGTCAGGATGTTTGCTTTGCAGTGAGTATATCAGGCCTTAAAGCAGACTTTTTTCTTTTTTTCTTTTACGATGATTATTTCACAAGTGGTCAGAGGGCAAATCTAAAAGACCATGACAGCGGTTACAATGGCCAGTGCTCCTGTTTCTGAACATCTGTGGTTACCGTGTACTTGAGTGTGCTTATCAGAAAAAAGAACAGATATTGTGCTGCTAGTGGGGAGCAGCTGAGCATTTTCTGAGCTGTTTAAAGTGACTGGCGCATGACAGAAAAGCTTTTCTACACTGCTTCTAAAAAGCATTTCGTACATTCATTCGCTTGAGGCCAGACCACAGGGATCTTTCCTAAAATGCAGCTCTCTTTTTTCACACCTACATCTACAAAAGGGCTAAAGCACATTCTTTATGAAATAATAATTGCGCTCTCTTCTCTGACGTTATGCTGGCATTTTTTAGTCTCGGCTAGTCTGTCTCTAATAATCAAAAAATTTTAAAAAACAGCACACGCAAGAACACGACTATGTGCGTGACCTTTGAAAGCACTGTAAAGTCTTGCGCACATGGTCACACGGGGAGAAGGGCACTCCGGTTTCTCTGGTTTATTTATGAACTGCACAGTTAGCATGGGAACACAAAACCCGACCTATTCAACAGGGTCAGACTGGGGTCATCTATAAGACTTCTGTCATTTGACTATGAAAAAGAAAGGTCAGGTATGAGTAAGTAGACTACTTCCAGGAGACTAGTGGAAAAGGTACAAAGCATGAGACGAGGGATTTAGCAGGGCTATAAACTGTTCATAGCGGGTAGCGTGACATTTACTTTCCTGTTCTGGGACTCTACTGGAGTCTAGAATGGGCCATAGTGCATTACTTATTACTTTATAGCTAGACTACAGCTAGAGGAGTTTTCTAGGACATTTACAATCAAAATGACAGATCATGGGAAGGCCGAGGGCAGGAAGGAAGAAACTTCAGCCAATCATTGTCCACCTTACCTGGGTGACCAGCAACAGGTCAGTGTCTAAATCCAAGAGATCGACTCGTTCATTATGTTTGTTCTGCAATGATAACATGGTGTTAGATGAAAGATGGGATGAGACACACAGAAATTAAGGTGAAATGAGGTCTGTTTTGGGACGGTGAATGTGAGTAGATGGGATGGATGGTACTGTACCTGTGCAGGTGTGGTTTTTGCATTTTACCACATTATCTTTCAAGCGTGCAACAGGTTTGAGCCAAACGCAATGCAAACTGTATTTATCTTCACCAACTCGCATCCCACCCCATAGTCCCAAACTGTAATTGGTGGAAGGCAGAATGAAACTAAAAAATATATTTGTAACCAGCTTCCAGCAGGCTTTAATGGGAAAATAATGCGTCTATTGAGATAACATGGGAAGAGCAAAAGACCATGAACAACAGCTGTTCCCGTCTTATTCTGTGCTGCAGAAAAAGCAACACAGGCGAGGAGAGGATCTTATACGAAAGGAGAGGATGGCTAGACTATGAAATTGAAAAGAAAACCAAGACCCCTTTCTTCCAACTTGGTTTACTTGGTTAGCCAGATAAAGTGGTGTCATGCATTTCGACAATTATACTTTCGACTAAGGGCAACAATAGAAAAATAAATAAATAAATACATATTTTTTTTATTGGTGTTTTCAGTCAAAATTATAATAGTTATTTTTTTATAACACTTTACAATAAGGATCCATTTGTCAACATAGTAAACTACGTTAAATAAATAAATGAATAAATATTATTTATTAATATTATTATTTTTAATATTATTTAATGGACCTGATATAACATTAACTAATAATGAACAGTTGTATTTTTATACAAAGTTTTTTATATATTTGTATTTTTTATCGGTCAATCACAACTAACACATTAGTTAATGCATTAACTAACATTAACTAGTGGGACCTTATTGTAAAGTGTTATCATTTCTTTTTTTAATGTGTAAAACATTATACAGTATAAATGTCATTAAAATGGGGCCCAAGGGGGCGCATTTTAAAATCCCAACTTAATATAAAAACAGTATAGTGTTTGATAATTAAGAAATATTACAATGTTAATCTAAAAAATATATATAAAAATATAACACAACTAAATAAACAAATAAGATCATTTTCAGTTTAAAGTGCATGATCTGCAGAAACTGTGACTTGATTGGCAGACATTCGCATTGATTTCTGCCACAAAAGAAATCACCCAGGCTTCTCATGTTATGCAAAAATTATCCGGCTAACCAAGTAATACCAGATTTAACACTGACAACAAAATATGCACATACAACAACTAGACTAACAGAAAAACAAACACATACATGTAAAACATGCAATAAAATCAAGCTTGAGTTGACTCCAGGTCAGTGGATTTGGTTGCAGAAGCAGGTGACACCTGAGATGGTTAAGTCTGAAAGCCTCTCTGGGTTAGCGCTTGCTGTTCTGTGTTAGCACTTAGCTTTAAGAGTGAAAGGGTTTTAACGGGAGTCATCTGAGAAAGGTAAGCAGAAATAAGCCACTGCTAGTGACAAGTTATATCTGCTAATGTCGCGGGAATGACTGAACGGACAAACATGAAGGACAGCAGAGGTGATTCACTTAAAGACCACGACGATCAGTTCAGTTGAAACAGAAAAACTATTAAATGCCTCATGCATAAAACATGAGCAGAACTAATTTCAGTGTTCAGAATTATGCAACAATCTACGTTTACAAACAATTTGGACTCAAATTCGTTCTGCTTGTGTTTCATGAATAAAGGGAACAAAACTACTATTTTGATTTGTTCCCATCATGTTTTCAGGGTGATGGTGTTCGTCTCAAGAGACGCCATCAAATCATGGGAAAGATGACAGCTGGGCCCCACAGTGATGAACTGTGTCAGTCAAATCGCACTGCATGCTGCTGACACCTTATTACTGATGGATATCATGAGTGCTGATAACCACCTTCTTATCTGTTATTATAGCAAGCTGCCTCTCCTGTGGAAGTGTGACTCACATGATGCATTGTAATTCCATAACTGAAATTACAGTATTTACACTAAACAGTCTCCATGGCAACATTTAGAACAATGCTGAGGGTAAACATTAGTATTTTATGCAACCGTATGAGTCTCTCGCTTATTTTGCCACAATCCATCAGCCTACTTTTCTATCATCGTTATCACTTCAAACGACTATCAATTAACCGTCCCCTCGGAGATAATAATTATCTTCGCAGTGTCCTGTGCACTTTTAGTGCTGCCCATTTCATTATGTCCGGAGTGTTAATGTCTTGCGCTTTGACTGATCATATAGCCACAGGCATGAGACCAACTGGGAAGCACAGCTATGAAATTAAATAATACATGGAGAGGTAGAAGAAAAAAGAACAACACTAATGAGTTATTTAAAGCAATGCTTCAGCATAAATACAGTTTATCAACAATTCACTTCTTAAGTATCCAGAAATATAATGGGGGTATTCAATAAGAATAAATTGCGGCCACTGATAGTGTTGTTTATTTGCACATGCTTTGTTTTCAGTGAAAAGGAAATATGCTAATTAATGACCAAACATGGCCAAAATGTAGTTCGCGTGATACTTTTGCGAATTTCTGTTGTGAAGGATGCAAAACAAAACAAAACAAAACAGAATAAAACTAAATAACACAAAACAAAACAAAGAAATCAAACAGATAAAACAGAACAAAAAACAAAAAATAAAAACACAACACAACACAACACAAAACAAGACAAAACCAAACAGAATAAATAAATAAAATAAAAAAATAACATGACAAGACAAAACAAAACAAAGAAAACAAACAGAATAAAACAAAATAAAACATAAAACAACAGAAAAAGAAGACAAACCAAACAGAACAAAACAAAACAAAAAAACAAGACAAGACAAGACAAAACAAAGAAATCAAACAAAATAAAATAAAACAAAACAAAAACAACACAAAACAAGACAAAACGAAACAGCATAAAACAAAAATAACAAAACAAAACATAATTAAACAAAACAAAATGTTTGACAAAACAAAAAATGACAATGCAAAAACAACAACAGAAAAACGTACAAAATACAACATACAAAAGTGGAGCAACTGTTTAGTGAATTTGCCTCATAATGTTTGGCTAAAAAGAACGTACAAGTGCATTTAAAAAAATGCAGAAAAATAAATTTGGATCCACAAATAAATAAAAAACAGATTTACAGCCTAACGGTTCAAAAGCCAATTCTGTAGAGCTGAGGGAGTTATTTTATGAGTTGAAGCTGTGTAGATTTTGCTTAGACAGGAATGAAAAAGCTGGGGAAGGCAGGATCAAGAGGCCAGACGACTTCGATTGAAATAGGAGAGAGGAAGAAGACTGAAAATGTGTGCGAGGAAGAGAGAAAAGAGTGAGTAGGTGTTTGAAAACATGATGGAAGAGGCCAGATGAAGAGCTGCCAGACAGTGGCACAAGGTGACATGAGGGCTGAGATGAGGAAAATCCAACTGAAACATTGTTTTCCAGGTCTGGAGAGACCTAAACAACTGAATACTGAGGACAGACTCAACCAACTTCAGGGACTTTGCCAGGGTTGTATGTGTTGTGATGGTGGCTGTGGGGGGTTTAGGCATTTAGCTAAGACTGAATGAACAGAGCAGCTATAACACAAGAGAGGTACAGACAGCAGAGACACTGGCCAGAACATGAAAATATCAGCCATTTTTACATATCAGAGTGTAAATGCTGAGCCCAAAAGGCCTGACAAAGAATCGTCCACCATTTAAAGAGAGAGAGCAAAATTCCATGCGTGAGCACAAGTCAAAAATTCAGAAGAACGTTTGCCATCTCTCATTTAAATTACTTTATCAGTCAACCCATATAAACTCCACAGACTTTTCATCTTTTATTGTAGATCATGCATGATTAATGGGCATTCATGGTATGACATTGAAGGAAAAGTTCACCAAAATTTAAAGTTCTGTCCTGTTGTTTCAAACTTCTATGACTTTAATTCTTCAATGGGACACAAATGGGAAAAAAATATATATATTCTGAGGCTGTTCTAGTTGCTTTTTTCGATATAAATATCTTCAAAGTGGCATAAAAATTAGATTATTGAAGTACATTTTGCAAGAAAATATTATTCCAGTTGTTCTAGTTGTCCAGTTGTTAATTAAATGGTACTTGCAATTTCTTTGCAATTGTTGGTGACAATTACTAGCAATTTCTGAGGGAAAATTGATTCTGCACAAATTTTTGTTTCAGTGTATGACTTGTGTTCAATATTCAGGGCTTTTAGTAAAAAATGACTTCAATTTTTGCCTGTTTGCCACATAAAACGATCATGTGATATTGTGTGTGAATCATATGAACAATTTCATGGTGCTTTTATGTTGTTTTCAAAGCTTGAAAGCATGAGACTCATTGACAGTCATTGTTGTTGCATGAAAAACAGTGAGTATATTCTTTAAAATCACAGTATTCCATGGAAGAAATAACATTATACAGATCTAGAATAACATAAAGGTAAGTATGAGTTTTCATTTTAGGTGAACTATCCCTATTCCATCATGAATGCACCAGCTGTCCTTATTATGGGGTGAAGACAAGCGTACATCATGCAAAACCGACCAATCACGTAATGCCCACCACCCAAACCCAAACTAGATTTTCACAAAGAAAACGATCAGCCATAAAGAAACAAACATATACACAACCAGCCAAAAACACACAAACACCAGGGGAAAATTAAGAGTGCACAGTCTATGCGATTTACTGTAAGCTGGGGAATGAGTGCTGCTGAACTCCTCACAAGACTCGAGACAGGGAGAGGGACATGCTTGATGCTTGTGGTTTACATACTGTATTGAAAGGTTTGCCAGAGAGAGGCACAGGAGAGTCACATAAACAAACACACACAGGTCCACTCACTGGATGTCGCTTTGGGACGTCATAAACTCCCTCCTTTTGTTGGCTGGTAGGGACCTGGTGTGGACAGGGAGCCCAGCCAAATGCACAGTTAACATGACAAGTTACCATTAGTTCAGATTTCAGCAGGAGATTTTACAAGGTCAATGCAGAATGCAAATGTTATGCTTCCTGGAGAGCAAAATGAGTCATTGTCTATGTTCAATGTGTTGCGTTTTAATTAATAATGAAAAGGAAGATGCAGAATAATAGAAATCTAATTTTGCTTGAATAATTTCTTTATAATAAATATTTTATTTATAACAAAAATATTTATTATAATAAATATTTTTGATAAATAGTCAAAAACCTCAAATTTATTTTATTTTATTTTATGATTTCTCAATTCATATAATCTGGTACCATAATGTCCATCTTCACAATACACGGTTAGTAAAGATGCAGATCCTTTCATTCTCTGTTATTTCCATGTCTTCTCTTTCTCTAATTTGCCATTGTTCTTAATTTCCTTCTTGCTGAGAGACTGATTGCCGCTGTGTTTTTATTTGATCGTACACTTGAAGTGATCGTTCCATTTCTTTTATTGAAAGATCACACAGTGAAAGCAATGATTGATCATTCTCACTCTTTCATTTGGAGAAAGGGCAGAGGAGAGACCTGCTGCTTTTTCTCACAGCAGAGTAATTTCTCTATGCAGACCTTGGAAAGCTCCCTACACTCAGCATCAATCCCTCAGTCATGCTATGTAAACTTTGCCAGAGCCAAAACCACTCGGGATCCAAGGGGCCCGCTGGAGGTCAAGGTTACTTCCGCTGCATACTGTTAGCTTTGGTTAAGGAACTTATCTAGCTATGAGATGCTGTATTGTGTTGTTTAATGAGATTGGATAGAGATTCTTTTTTATTTACCCTATACCTTCTAATCAGTTAAGGCAAGACAGGCAAAACTTTTTTATTTTCAGGCACAGGTACATTTTGAGATTTTGGACTATTTTGCTTCAATTCCTTATTATTACACATGATCTTTTTGCATATGCAGATTTCAATTACAACACACATCTTTAAAGGCAATTTCCTCAAAATAAGTTTTTTCCCCCCTCCTGAACTGAGCCAGCAATTTTCACTTCAGTAGCACTTACATACATAAACTTTACTTGACTTCGTTGAATTGGTTTTATTCCAATCTATATTCGGAGGGCTTTTACTGAGGGGGTTTGTTCATATAAAACTTGCCTGATTCATGTAACATTTTATGTAACTTTTTTTTCTGGCTGAGATGCTCAAAACTCCTCTCTGTGAAGCCTTTTAACTCAACAAAATGAAAACAAAATGTATCCGATGTATAGATTTCTCTTCTCGAAATGTATTGAAATGTGTACATTTTTAATTAGACAATTCCTCATTTGCATATTTGAACAACACACACACACACACACACACACACACACACACATATATATATATATATATATATATATATATATATATATATATATTATTATTATTTTTATATTATTATTGTACCCTGACCTGTAGTGTTTTGCCTTAAATTTGGGAAATACATTTGTAAATATTTCACTCACAAAGAGCCATTTTCATGGCTTTTTAAAAGTCCCTGATATTTTCATGGTGTCCATGGTGCTTCACAATATAACCATAATTCATTGCTTCAATTTATGCTATTTATATACATTCAGTCTTTAGTGTGGAAATCTAGAGAACACAGATCTTGTTGTGTTCATTTAGGTTTTCCTATTTCATCGCGGTTAGCAAAGATCTGAAGTGATGTTCACGCAGATTCGATCTGACTGGGCCAATCTGTTTTTTTTTTTTTTTGATATGAGATGCGATCAGGTGTTTGCGAAGTGTCAGGTTAGCGCTCGAGAGCCGTGCACACATTTGAATAGTTAGAAGGTATAATTCGGTCCCTAATGGTGTTTCAAACTTTCAAGGAGCTACTAAACTGATTGTGACGTTAAGTCGGATATGTATAAAGTTGTGGAGGAGACAGACTGGCAAAGTGTTGGGGGGACTGATGTGATTATTGTTTTGCTTGGCAGCGTTTCTTTTTGACTCAAGCCACAGGTGACAAAACAAAGCAGCACCTGAGGATACAACACCTGCTGTTGTCTTGGTCATGGCGCTCGGAGCACGAAACATTGCTGGGTGTAAATCTTTGAAAGGGCCGTCACGCTGAATTAGTGTGGCTTGGCGTAGCACTCTGTTCTAATTCACAGGTGGGACTCTGGCAGCTACACAGTGGAGCTGTCAGTAGCTGCACCATCAAAACATGGGATTCTTCTAAAGAAGAATGGTGGTTTATTTAGAGGCTCCCTATTGGCTGTTTGGCACAAAAACCTTGGTTGGTCCTTGATAGCTTTTAATGATAGGTCTATGCTTGATGTATTAGGTTTATCAAATTGATAGATTGTATTGTGTAGTGTAGTGAACAACAACCAATTTCAAAACTCCCTAAATAAACAAAACAAAGATTATTATAAATGCTACTTCAGTCTTTCTACTTCAAAATTTGAAGTTTAATTTAATGTGTTACTTGCTTGTTTTTATTTAATTACATTTTTTGTGAAATTTCCTAGCTATTTCTGTGTGATAGTTGTCCAAGTAAATCCTACACCTACACTTTTTTTTTTTTTAGTATAGGTTCCTTTCAAGCAAGGGAATGATCTGAAAAACACAATTGACACAATTTAACACAATTTAAAATATTAATTAGATGACATAATCCCTTTTTGTAATTACAAAAAAAAAGAAAAGAAAAAAAGTATTTATGAGTGAAATTTGAGAGTGAACCTCAAACTTCATTCATTCATCCATTCATCCAATGATTCATTCTTTCTTTCTTTCTTTCTTTCTTTCTTTCTTTCTTTCATTATTTATTTTTGTTTGTTTACTTGCTTGCTTGTTTGTTTATTTATGTTTGTTTGCATTTTGGCCAGAACTTGAAAAATTGGTATTTCACAATATTAATATATTATATTAGCATATATTATATTGAAATATTATAAAATATATTATAACCTTACTATAACATTATAGCAGTTTATGAATTTATTGTTAACCTTTTGATTTAATTAGTCAATTTCCATACTTCTTTTCAACATTTTTAATGAACATTTTTAACTCGCAAATTATAAATCGCTCTTTTAGAGCTTAGAAACTTCCAGAAATGCTGTCACATTTTTAAAATACCCTCCCAAAACATAATTTGATCTAGACATTTGCTACTCTCAACTGTTTATTTTGTTTATTATGTTCTGTACTATATCAATAAAAAGCAAAATTGCTTTTAGTGATGAATGTGTATAATAGTTTTCATTGCACACTAATATTGAAATGTCCGATTAAGTGATAATCAGTTAAAAGGCACCATTTTTTAAGAACATTATTATGATTTGGTAGTGTACCTGATATATGCTCTCCTCTGATTGGTCACGGATGGGCTCGTGTCCCGCCTCAAATACAATGTACTACAACATCGGCAGCAGAGGAAGATAAAAAGGCAAAGGGACAGGAAAACGGTGAGTGTGAAAAGAAAAAAGAAAAGAGAAAAGGAAGAAGACTGATTGATCACACAGAATCAACAGCGGCCCCAGGAGCAGCGCCGTGACCCTCGCAACAATGAGGGACTAAACGAAGCTGTGACATGCTTACCATCTTGACCTTTAGCAACATGCACTGGTCTAGCAAAGCGTTTCGGTCGCTTAAGTTCATCTTTCACTGCAACTTCAGTGCAGAGAATAACATTCACTCTCTGCAGCTTAATAACAAATAAGAATCCTTACGGAGAGAAGAATTACAAGGTGTTCTTTCTAACCTATGCCTCATGCATATATACTAGGCTTTAAAATTTTTATCCTCTATACCCGTACCCCTGTTTCTGGGGCGATGGTATGAATTTTACAATATTAAAGTGAAATAAAACAGTGTATAACACAACACTGCATGTTTCTTTAATGAGGCTTATTAATTAGCTTAGCATGGGTAACAAAACTTTCCCAGCTGAGCCACTAAGATTTGAGACTATTTTTGAAACATCTAAACCTATATCTGCGATATATTCCTCAGTGATTTTTGTCGAGTAGCATTCAAGCTAATCGCTAACTCCTGTCCTTTCAAGACCGCATTTATGTTAATAGAAGAATCGTCTCCATTTACTGTGACATTAGATCTAATGGCTTAGCCGTTCCCATTTACAAGCTACTGTCGCCATTGGCTAATTCATTTTGTTACACAGTTAGCCACTGGCTAATACTTCTCCTCTCTAGCCCTCTTAACAGCAAATTGATAATGCTTATCAGGTCTGCACTACTTCTAATGATTAAATCTTAAGTTAACTGCAAGGCCTAGAAGCAACGTTTCTCATTTCTATGCTACTAATGGCTAATGGGCATCCAGTCTTGCCATTTAAAGATACACTCAATCATAAACATATTCCATAGGATACAAAGCTATTTCATTCCCATTATGATGCACAACGGACAATACGGAAAGGCAATGTAATGCATGTAAACACACACACACACACACACACAGCCCAGATGAAATGTGTTAAAGCTGTCTGTTTTCAGTACAAAATTAAGGATTCTCCCAGAATCGCTATAGCTTCACCCAGTTTATGAAAAGGAAAACTTAACTACACATTACAGCAATGATTCACCGTTTATTTCTATATCCAAATGATGAAATCCCAGTCTTATTAATTCAGGAGGAGTGAGAGAAGAGCAGAGAAAATGGAGTGGAATTATTTATTTCTGTAAATGAGATTAAACGCATATTATTGAGCAGGGAGCCCTGTTTAAAGTGACAGTGACAGGCACACTAATTTGACAGCGTAAGTTCAGGCAGACATAATGATTAACGATTTATTTCAAAGCGTTACCTGATATACGGGATCCTCCACATCTTCCTCCAAAATGGTCTGCAGGAGCGATCGCACAGAGAGGGGGTGATTGGAGGAAGGAGAGTAGAGATAGAGGGAAACAGGAGAGAAGATGACGGCGAGAAAAAGCAGCCAATTTTTGGTCATTCATGTAAAAACAGAGCAAAAGCATTTTTGACATCAGGCAGTGAAAATAGGAACAGAAGTGTAGCCAGCACAGGCCAACAGGTGAGATTTTGTCTGTATTGAAAAAGCAGTGTGAAGTAAATCACCCCGCAGATATGCACCTGAGATTCAACAGACAGAGAAAAGGAAGTGGACAGAGCTGCCAAGCGCTTGATGCGCACTGTACAATTTTGCCTTGGTTTTTCTGTCTGAAATAAATTTCGGCAATCGGAAAATTGTTCCTGGTTGTTACTGGTCCTACAACGCCTATTAAATGTACAAGTAATGTAATGTTAATATTGCTGTAGAAAAAAAAAGAAATTTAATAGATGCAATATTTAATACATATACAGCATGATATATATATATAGAATAATTTTAAAATGCATAAAAACACTATGAAATGTATAATTAGTATTAAAAATATTAAATAAAAGATAATATTAATAAAATACAAAATAGAATTACAGTTGTTCTCTCTTTTATATATAATGTGTAAACATTAAGTGTAACAGGGACATACACACACACACACACACACACACACATTATATATATATATATATTGCATAATGTAATCACTGTTTATTGATAATATTAATTCAAAATAAACTCAAATACAGACAACTGCACAAATAAATAAATAAATAACTTAATACATACATACATACACAAATGTAATATTAATAGTGATGTATTAATTAGATTTAAGTAGGGCTGGACAATAATTCAATATCAATATGTATCGCGATATAATTTTTTTCAACAACGGTGATATGATTTTTAAACACATTTCTGATATTTTGATATACATTACCAGTTTCCCATACATTTATTTATTTGTGCCGTTTGACTTCGTTGAATAAACATGAGCACTGCACCTTTCAAAATCATAACATGGCGCGGGTGTTTTATATGAATGTATCTCTGAAGGGAACCGACTGTCTTCAGAAAAGGTTCGATGGCATTTTCATTTGATCTGATAAAGTAGCATTCATGAGCGGAGCTGCTTTGATTACAGCCGTTACCAGGGAAAGCGCTAGTTTTATCACTCTAAAAGCACCTCCTGCTGGCAGAGAATGAGTTTTCATTTTAAATAAGCCCGTCTCCAGCAACATTTCCAGTTTTTGTTGTTGTTCAATTTTTTTGTTTTCTGCAGCGACTTGGAGCACTTTGCATACCCTTTTTTCTGGCTGAAGCACATTTGTTTCAATCTATAAGAATAATCAGCCTACACTACCAGTCAAACGTTTTTGAACAGTAAGATTTGTAATGTTTTTTTTTTTTTTAAGAATTCTCTTCTGCTCACCAAGCCTGCATTTATTTGATCCAAAGTACAGCAAAAACAGTAAAATGTTGAAATCTTTTTACTATTTAAAATTGCATTCTATTTGAATAGATTTTAAAATGTAATTTATTCCTGTGATCATATTTGCATACCCTTTTTTCTGGCTGAAGCACATTTGTTTCAATCTATAAGAATAATCAGCCTACACTACCAGTCAAACGTTTTTGAACAGTAAGATTTGTAATGTTTTTTTTTTTTTTTAAGAATTCTCTTCTGCTCACCAAGCCTGCATTTATTTGATCCAAAGTACAGCAAAAACAGTAAAATGTTGAAATCTTTTTACTATTTAAAATTGCATTCTATTTGAATAGATTTTAAAATGTAATTTATTCCTGTGATCATACACACATTTTCAGCATCATTACTGCAGTCTTCAGTGTCACATGATCCTTCAGAAATCATTCTAATATGCTGATTTGCTGATTATCAATATTTAAAACAGTTGAGTACATTTTTTTTCAGGATTCTTTGATGAATAGAAAGATCCAAAGAACAGCATTTATCTGAAATAAAAAGCTTTTGTAACATTATACACTATTCCATTCAGTATAATTTTGATTATTTTTTTGGGAAATAAATTATAGAAATGAATACTTTTATTTAGCAAGGATGCTTAAAATTGATCAAAAGTGATGATAAAGGCATTTATAATGTTACAAAAGATTTCTATTTCAGATAAATAGTGTTCATATCGATATCGGAATTATATCGTATCGACCGAAATTAAGAAATGTATCCTGATATCAATTTTGGCCATATCGTCCAGCCCTAGATTTAAGATTTCAATATATGTAATATTTTATTATTACTATATTATAATAATTCTTATTATGTATTATGCTATATATACACAAGTCAGTGTTTTAAAAAAATCATAAATACAGACAAAAACTAATTAATAAACGCATAATATAATACATACTTTAATACAAACTAATATAATATAAATAAACAGCAATAATATAATTTAAAATACTATAAAATCTAATAAATTATATATATATATA